GAGTTTTGATGATTTTTCCCAAAATTGGCCACGAGGCGCAGCAAGTTGCGGGACTAGGTGACTTGCACCATACTAAATTACAATTAATTTGTCTTGTTTTGGCAATATAAATGTCACCTGTAATTTAGTATATTAATCGTCACGGATCAATTTATAAAAATATTATTCGTCGCCGGACGTGACATAAACCGTCCCCATCCCTAATTATATGTGAATGAATCAGAGAAAGATCTGCATTTTTAATAGTAAATTTTGGTGCAACCTTCCACAGGATGATATTACTTTTATGTATTATCTAAAAATCAACATAGATTGTGTGATGAATAAAGACTTTTCTATGTAGGAAACACAGATTGAGGGTCTCTCTGATTCATTCACAGATTGGCAATTAAAAGTCTTGGATCTTTTAATGTATCCATAATAATTTTTCCCCTATCAATAACAGTACTTTTTTATCCTTTGCCTGGGACCTCAATTAGAAGTTTCTGGATAATCAATGGGTACAACCACTACATATAACAAAACCAAACTTTAGAATTCATCAAATGGTTATATATTAATATTTCAAATTTTCTAACATTTATCTGCTAATATAAATAAATAAATAATTATAAATAAAATATTTTTAGGTATATTGAGTAAAGTCAAAAACATATTCTGACTCCAGTAAGGAATTATTTTCAATGCTATAATTAATATCAAATTGTTGTCTATCATTTCCTCCAGTAACATTAGTTGTTGAATTTTTTTTAGATAAACGTTCTTTGACTCCTTTAATTTGTTTCAAACGACCCTTCCAGTTAGAAACATATTCTGCATCTCTATTACCTACTCTACTCTTTAAGAAGATTTGTGTAAATATATTAGCATTTAATGCCATTTCACGAACAAAAGATGCTAGTGACACTGCTGATATCATTTTAAATTCAGTAATTGGACTTATCTCTGGCATATCAGAACGACGCTGCATTACAACTTTATAAAATAATTTATGATTAGATGTTGATGGCATTTTTGATTCAAATAAATCTTGATAAGAATGTGGTGAAATCACAATGTTAATCAGATTAAAATGACCTGGCAAAGTGTCAAAAGCATAGGTATCTCCTGAATCATTATAAACAATAGTAACATAATTGTTTCCTATATGTCGTTTTTTAAGATTACATTGTGGATCATCAATCATATTTGTTGGCATCAAAGTTGCACAATGAAATATAACTTGAGTGATATCATCTTGCCAATAATATGCATAATCTCCATCAGTATCATATTTTGTATCAAGTCCTCCTGTGTATACATTCTTGCAATCTTTTAGTTTAATCAAAGTTCCTAAACTGCTTAAAAATTTGGTATAATCTTGAGATCCATGAATATTTGACAAAATTTCTGTTTCCTTATTTTGATTTTTTCCTACATATAATACACCAATCTTATGAAAATCAACAACTGGTATATTATCCAAAACTGTTAAAGTCCTAATAGTAGAATCATCATCTGGAAGTGGTCTTGGATAATCTTTAAAAACTGAATCAGGATATGTAGAAAATTGTAAAAATAAAAAACTTGGGTCAATATAAGGATCATCCTTATTATAAATATTATTCCATTCATTTATTGTTATATTATTAGTAGAACCAAAGAAAAAATTTTCAATTGTCTTTTGTTTCTCCAATAAAGAATCATCTGAACTATCTACATCAAAAGCCAATTCATTTTTAATTCCACTATTATTGTTGTTATTATTGATGTTATTATTGTTGTCACCATCATTGTCTAAATTGAGTTTATTTTGCAAATTTATATTTTCAGAATCTAAACCACTTAATCCTTTGCTGTTATTTATTTTAAGATTTACATTTTGAGCTATTAAGTTTTTTATAGAATTAGGGAGTGTGGTTTGATTTTGATACTCAGGATTATAGTGTGCTATTAGAGTGGCTGGTAAGCTCAAAGCATCCTTGTTTTCATTTTTAATATGATTCTCCAATCTACATAAAAATGATACTGTACCAGATGGTCTTCTTATTATTATATCAGCCCATCCAAATAACTTTAAGGTTCTGATGGTCAAAAATGTATTACCTTGAACCCAAGTACGTGATATAAATTTATCTTTTCCTTGATCTTGTAATACTTGATTTATAAAAGACTGTTCAGGTTTTGGATTACAATTAGCGAATGAATAACGAGCAAGCATATCAAAGCATGTTTCAGTTTGTTCATCAATTTTCTGTGAAGATTCATTTGCGATCAATAATCCATGAACAATAAAGTTGACATATCTTCGTCTTTCAGGGAGTTTAAGTGAAATAAACCAAAGATAAATTACTTGATATGCCATAATTTTTTCATATTGTGATAAAGAATTGACACTTTGAGATGACGTAGAACTGTTTGTATTTGTAGAATTTGCAGGTGATGTTGTTGGTACATGTGTATTAGATGTGGTGGAAAAATGACTACCAGTATTACTATTAATTGAATTAGTGGTATTGGAATTACGGTGACTGTATCCAATATATTGCATTGCTATCCTAAATACTATTTTGTAATCTGCTTCTGTAAAATTCACATATAAATCAGGAAGTCTTGCTAAACTTGAAAGAAACTCAAGAATATGAACACTCATAGTAGTTGTTGTTATTATCTTTGACAATTGGGCAAGTATGTCTGGAAGAGATCTTTTTAAATAATATGGTAGTTCATATAGACAAACATTTAGTGCATGTATACATGGCTTTGCCGTAAGAGTCCATTTATATAATCCAGTGTGGAAAGCTAATAGAAGCTCATGACGTTGATTATTATTAAATAAGCTATTATAACTAATAAGAATTATTAACATTTGATAAGTTGCAACATAAACATCCATTTTTTTAATATCTGATGGGAGTGAAACCTTTTCTGCAAGCCGATTATTAATTATCCAATCACACAAACAGCTTCTCAATGCTAAAATTTCTTTAGATGAATTATAAAATAAATTTTTGTCACATAATTGTAGTGGCAAATAACATAAAATATAAGAATATATTTCCCAATTTTTTTCTTGTGACAAAATGTCTATTAAACATTTCAAATACATATCCACTGGTAAAATAACATTACTATTTTTCAAAGTTTCATCAGAACTCTCTTTATTACTTATATTTCTATCATCATCAATGAGATTTGAGATTCTTTCAAAACTAAGTACATAAGGACTAGGTTGATGAGCTGTCAGTATAAATCTTAAAACCTCTGGTGCTTTCCAAAGAGTTTTGGTTACTTTAGGAGACTGATATCCTGAAATTTCTTCATTATCTTCAAGGGTAGCCGTTTGTTTGGTAGTTTCTTTTCTGTCAAATATGGATGAGGCTATGTCCTTCAAGCTGGCTCTACGCCCCACCCTTTTCTTCACACTACCTTTTCTTTTTATTTCGGTGCTATTTGCTGGTTCTTCTGAAATGTTTGAAGTATTATTAGTTACCAAATCACATCTTCTTAAAGCTTGTACTACATTCCCAACATCTAAATCCTCAACAAAATATATTTGACGATCACTATTTGCCCTCATCCTAATAAAGAATGATAGTAAAGTAAAACGAGAATCAGCCAGTAATCCTACATCCGACAGAATTTTCATCATCTCTGAATAAACTTTTATCAATTTAGAGATATGATCTATATTATATAAATAATGTTGAAAGACCATAATTAGACCATCAGTTGAAATAATAGATTTACATAAATCCAAATGATCTCTATCCTTTATTTTATTGGTATTTTGCTTATTTTCTGAAACACAAACACAATTAGTACATTTGACCAAAATTTTAAGTAAATCTGGAAACCATTTATCTGGCACCTCCTTTATTACCGTAATCAAAAAGGCTATTGTTGAATTTGACACTTCTAAATCAGTTTCTTCAGGAAGTCTAGCAAACATTGGCAAGATTGCAATTTCTATGACCTGATCATAATAAAAATCTTTTGTAATATCGTATACATCAATAACCATTGCTAAAACTTTCTGACGGACTATTGATGAATAATTTTGAATATAAAAGGTTTTAACAACATCATCAAGCATACTTAACCAATTTGGTGATGAAGGATAAAGCTCATGTTCGTAATTATAATAATCAAGTAACATTAAAATAGTACTTTCTGAAACATAATCGTGCAGACTTTGTATCAGTGAAATAAAATGTGAAATTGATCCTTTAAATGAATTTGACATATGTGAAGCCTGAATTTGGAATATCAATCTGCTGTAAATATTGACTATACTTGATGGCTGATTTGAATCATCATTTGAAATATTTGAAATATCAGTATTAACAGAAAACTTTTTTGCTTTTAATAAATGGTAACGAGTATTATCTAAAATATTTAATATGATGTCCCATTCTAAAGTGGCTATTTTTTCTTCAAACTTAGTAATAAGTTCTCTGATTTGAATTAAGATCTCACAATGAACTTGAGCATCTTTACATGTAAGAGTTGCTTGTCTCATTGCTGAAATTGCTGAGGAATAATTATTCAAAAATAAATCATTTTGATTGGAACCCCATATTGCCCATCCTAAAAATTGTACAGACCCAGTTAAAATTTGCAAATAATTTGACATTGCAGGATTCTCCAAGTTATTACAAAGAATTTTTATTGTGCTATATTTACAATGACTTTTCAATAAATTTTTCATAATACGCCAACATGTTTGTGATATTTTAACATCCTGGTTAAGCTTGTCACATAACACTTCTACATAAGATTTGAGTGATGAGATTGGTACAAAGCCGTAAGGTACAATAACATCCCAAAAACTAAGGCAACATTCAATATCTGAGTTATGTAAAGATTTTTTACATGCTTTGGCAATGTCTTCGATAAGATGTGCAATATCATGTTCTTCAAATTGTGGAAAATTAAATTTGACCACATTGACCAATAAACTAACAACTGACTGTAATCTAGTTGTATTAAAATGATCTAAAGTTACATCTGACGATGATGACGATGATTCCTCAGCTGTTGAGGATGAAGTGGATGTTTTTGTTTGTAATTTTGTTGATATAGGTTCAAAATTAATTGCTTGTTGATCCATAATTTGTACAGTCTGATTAACCCATTCTGAGAGCAATTTGACAAGATTTTTTTCAAAAGAAGAAATATTTCTTCCATCTTGACAAAGTTCTTTCAATGCCAACAATCTAATATTAAAATCTTCTGAAACATCGTGAAATTTGATACAATCATAAAATATGACCCTTAGGAATCCTAAATTATCAAAATGTCCTTTAATACATGAGATCATAAATTTAAATGCAGTATTTCTTGCATCAGTTGGCATGTCAGATGAAAGTAGCTTTTTAACACAAGCCCAAACTTCTGTAATATCTGAAAACGTGTATTTCGTAACCATGTCGCATAATTCTTCAACAAGTTTTATATATGTATCTAATGAATGAGGCTTTTGCAATTCTTGAACAAGTAATTACAGTCTGATTAACCCATTCTGAGAGCAATTTGACAAGATTTTTTTCAAAAGAAGAAATATTTCTTCCATCTTGACAAAGTTCTTTCAATGCCAACAATCTAATATTAAAATCTTCTGAAACATCGTGAAATTTGATACAATCATAAAATATGACCCTTAGGAATCCTAAATTATCAAAATGTCCTTTAATACATGAGATCATAAATTTAAATGCAGTATTTCTTGCATCAGTTGGCATGTCAGATGAAAGTAGCTTTTTAACACAAGCCCAAACTTCTGTAATATCTGAAAACGTGTATTTCGTAACCATGTCGCATAATTCTTCAACAAGTTTTATATATGTATCTAATGAATGAGGCTTTTGCAATTCTTGAACAAGTAATTTTGTATCAATTGGACGGCCTCTTATTAATGCTACATTACGAAAGTGTCCACTAGTTTCTATCTCTTCAGGAAGAGTGTTCTCCTCTAAAGAAAATTCATCTCTTAAATTTGTTTGAGATCCAAACACACCAGCTATGAAGTTACGTTTCGAACCTTTAGAATTTTGCGTCATTTTATTTTAAACTGTATTAAAATATAAAACAAAAAGTGGTAATCGGTCGATCATGAAAAAGACAGGGTACCACAATTATTCTAAATATAGTGATTGTCTATTGACATTATCAGATGTCAAAATTTCATTTACCAAATACTAATATCAAATATCAATTATGCTTGATGGAACAAATCTCAGAATTAAATAAATTTATATCAATATTAATATAGTCTTCAATTGATAATATTGTTTGGTTATTTCTTCATTACCTTCAACATCAACTTCAATTATTTTGAAAGATCTCCAAATTTAGATCTTCTAAAGTTTGTTCATGATGGATGCATTAGAAAATTACAACACAATCCGGAATAAAGAGATGTCGAATCTTTATTTATGAAATCATGATGACTTTTCTATTTTTATTACATAATAATAAACATAAATTTGACAAATATGGTGCGAGTCACTTGGTCGCTGAACTTTTTATTGGTTGCGTAGATCCTTTTACTCTCCAAAAAAAAACCAAATCATAGATCAAAGCTAAGATCAGTGTTGGCGTTTTGCCAAATTGGCCAAGATCAACAGCCAAATTAAGCGGCCAAAGTTTATTGGCATTTGGCCGTTTGGCCGTGCAAAAATAGCCAAAATGGCCAAAATATTGTTACACTAATTTTTTTTAAAAATTATTGTTCGCATGTTTGCTTTTCCTCATATTAAAGCATTAAAAAATGCCCATAAATATATTAGTTATATCCAACTTTTATCTGAACAAGTAGATAAATGTGATAAATGGTGAAAATATCATATATATACATTTGGAAAAGAGAGGTTATAATGTGACTTTATTAGATAAGTTTCCTAATAAAAGCAAATTTGTATACATACATAAAAAAATTTAAAATCATGCATGGAATTGTTAACAGTGCAGTGTTGGATGAATAAATCATGTGATTTAAAAATATTTAGTATTAGTATTTTATATAGAAAGTAAATCTGCCTCCCTTTCTCTACAATCTAATGATTGATATGTCACGTTATCATGCATCAAAGTTTCACAAATTTTACTATATACAGTCAACCCCCTCTAAGTGCACGCTCTCATTCATTCCCAAGCAGTGTGTGAAATTGTGTGCGGGCGCGTGTGTTACATAAAAAATGCGCACATTTGTTGATCATCACCAAAAAAATTTTTTAATGAAAAAAATTTTAAAATTTGAATAACTATTTATAAAATTTAAAATTTATATTGAATAACTATTTATTCTTACTTTTTTATTTGTCCAATGTTCATATGCTTTTTCAAAATTAAAATCTTGAATATCTGGACCATTTAGTAAAATCATTAAATGATTATTCAATGTATCTAGATGCATTCTGTTTCTCAATTTGTTTTTTATCAAATTTGTTTGTGAAAATATTCTTTCAACATGTGCATTGGAAAAAGGTATAAGGAGTGCTATTTTAACAATAATTGTTAAATTTGGATAAAAAAGTAGTAATGGTAACACAACTACCGGTTTTAAATCATCAGCCAAAACACCCAAAAAACTATTGAATGACCTGGCTCAAATCAAACAAGTATCTAAATCAGACCTCAAAGCCTTTTTAACCCAAGACCACACCTCTTTTAGTGTCCTTTCAGTCTCCACCAAACATATTGAATCCACTAACCGCATTAGTGTTACCTTATCCAAAAACAGTGCCCAATCTTTTTATTTAAATCAATCAAAAAGCACTAGTTCTAGCCAAGTATGAGAAAGTTAATTAGGAGTCCCAAGCAGCAGTCAAATTTACCTCCCAACAAAAAAAACACCGCTAAAAACGAATTTGCTAATAATATTCAAGGCAAAATCTCTTTTCGCTGTGTAGCTAGCCAACATTTAGCCGGTGATTATCAGCACCCTAATCTAAGTTATTTCTTCCGTTCCGCTTTGCATGCTTACCAACATGGCATGACTTTAACTTATCAACGAAAGAATAATCCAAGGAAAGAAGTATCTTTTCGTTTGACAGAGGGATTGTTGGCTTTCTATAATTCGCTTCCTGCTCGTTCCAAGACGGCTAAAGACTAGTGCCGTAATCCAAAAAAGGAAAAAGTATGGTTGCAAAAGTGGTCGCAAAGGTAATTGCAACCACGTTTTATATGCCGTAAATACAATTACTACCATCATCACAATTTACAGCACTAGTCTTTAATTATCAACAACTGACCAGAAGTCAGGTGGAAATAATGGTGGTGCTCGAATTGCATTCCCATGTCTTAATGTGCATCTTGTTCTACCATGCACATAGTAATCTTTGAACCATTCTACGATTTCGTTAGCCTCCAGAGGAATATCATCCTTTAATTGATCAAATGCTGCAGGAATGTCGTCAGGAGGCAAGAAAGCAAGTGCAGGAATGTGTCTAATTTTTAAACTGAAATTTTCGTCAGTCCCATATTGAATACTAAGTCCAGAAGCTTGTACTTTCCGATAAATGCCCTGAGCCAAATGAAATAAACATCCCTTATTTTGGACACCTTGAAATTCTCTACGAGCAAGCATTGATGGCTGCTTGTTCGAAATCAATTAAAATAAATTGTGGCCGGAGAAGAACACCATTTTCATCACCAAAATCAACCAATCCCTGAAACAAATTCCTATAACATTCTTCCGATTTTCTGGACATTAATGCATAGACAAGTGGCATTATTTCTGAATTTTCATCTCTACCAACACGTCCATGAATTGAATATAACTGTCTAAATATATTTGGAACTGTTTTAAATGTTC